ATAGGGTCATACCCAGAATTCATCACCAATGAGTGATAGGGTCAATATCCAGAATTCATCACCAATGAGTGATGGGGTCAATATCCAGAATTCATCACCAATGAGTGATGGGGTCAATATCCAGAATTCATCACCAATGAGTGATGGGGTCAATATCCAGAATTCACTGCCAATGAATGATGGGGTCAATATCCAAAATTCATCACCAATGAGCGATGGGGTCAATACCCAGAATTCATCACCAATGAGGGATGGGGTCAATATCCAGAATTCATCACCAATGAGTGATGGGGTCAATATCCAGAATTCATCACCAATGAGGGATGGGATCAATATCCAGAATTCATCACCAATGAGTGATAGGGTCAATACCCAGAATTCATCACCAATGAGTGATAGGGTCAATATCCAGAATTTGAAATCGTCCATGCTTATGAAATCAACTGCATAGTGTAAAGAGGTTAATTATTCACTGTGTTTTAATTTTGCTTATTTGGCTGACAGAATTCACTAAATTAAAACCCAGTAAATTTGTAAAATTAAGCATGGAATACATTATATCTAAATGATAAAACCGTGAATATAAAACCCACTGAATGTGCCTGAAATGGTAAATCAGCGAAATTTAAACCCAGTGAAAATTAGTCATTTTACAGTAATTGATTCAAGTGTGTATATCGTAATTACAATTCAGTATTCTGTATATGTAGTATATTTTATTCAGAAGCTGAGTTGATGAGTTAATTTTAAAAACATAATACCGGTACAAGTAGAAGATTCTTCAGTGATTTATTTGATTCTTATTTATCAAAATTATATAATGTTAGGAAGACATTGTGAGATTGTGTGGTTTTTATTTTCACTTTGGTAAATTCAGTCAGACATAGCTGTTAACAAAAATCACTTGTCAACCCACACACTGTGTCTACATGTGTGCTTTCCATATCAATTTAGTCTGTCAATTCGTTGATCATTTCACCTCTGACGATCTTGAATCACCCCGTTGCTGAATTATGTAAGTATTCTGCCCTGTGTGATCACACTGGTAATTACTATCATTCAGCTAAATTACCATGGTTATATTGGCGTTAATATCTATATTCAATATCTATACAACTCCCAGGATTATGCTGTTAACACAGTGTTGTGAATCTTTTATAATTCATTATAAAAGAAATTATAAAGTCATTCCATTACATCTTTATTGCATACGAGAAAATCTGACTGTGACGTTAATTTGGTTACGTTTTTCCCAACTAGCGTATGAATCTCAGTGATCAGCACTAGTTTGCGATCCACTGTAAAAAAAATTATCCTGAAGTAAATTGTTTTTATAAGAGGAACACTTAAATTTAATTTCATAAATAGCAAATAACAACTAGTTCTTGCCAACCAGTCTTGTACACGTACACGCATGCAAAATATAACTGAGTGTGACCACATGTAAATTATAATGTCAGCTAGTCCTTTGATGAGAGGAGTCTAAGAAAATAATTCATCCAATTCTTGCTTTTTTATTGATTGTCAATCTTTTAATCAAGTGCTACCAAAATATTGATGTAACTTGGTTTCATTGCCGAGGTCTCAAATTATACAAACAGGTTTAAACACGTATTAAATATTTTGAATGTTACTGTTAATTAAATTAGTACACATCTCCCTGCTCTTCAATTACGTCACTGGCTCCTTGCATACTTCGCAATATTGTCATGATAACTACATATACCCAGTAGTATTAAAGGGTGGTAGTCATCGCGCTGCGCATGTGCGATATTTGTGTTGATAAACATTGATTTTCCCACAATCCAATGCGCCCTTTTAATGGAAATGGAAGTATGAGATTTGACCTGGGCGCGACTTGCACTACCGGTAATACAGCGATATCTTCCAATCACCTAAAAAATAGCTAATTAACGCTTGGTAACTCATTAATCTGCGCAACAGTCAAAGTCGCCATCTTTGTTTATGAGACCCATATATCTCGCACATGCATCGCGCGACGACTACCGCCCTTTAAGCCTGATAACTTGTTCACGAATAGTAACTTATTAGCAGTTTATGATTTGAATTTATACATTTTGTATGACAAATGATTCTCAGCTGCCCAAACAAACTAATCCAAGTTATCACCTAAGTTAACTTATCACCTGCTAATGCATTTCTTTTTCATTCATTTCTGCTATCCATGAAGGCTTTCAGCTGGAAATTTATTATTAAACTGACACCTGCGCTATAAAATTTCAAAATTGACACATGCTATAAAATTTCCCCAATGTAGTGTTGTTTAATACTACATGTCTAAATAATCCTATAGTTACACACTGACACATGTACTATAAAAATTGCTCTATTTTCCCTAATCCATTAAAATTTGATCTTGAACAATGATTCACAATATGATTATTTGAAAAATCTTAGACGGAATCGTTTCAGAGAATAATTACCTGACTGAAGAAACTGTTTAGTCTTTAATTGCAGTTCCCATATATAATTCTGCATGTGTCTGCCAAAATGCAAAACAGTATGTATGAATTTAAATGAGTTCAAAACTGAATCTCTTCATCCTTTGACATTCATATAATAAACTGATCGAGTATTTTATCAAAGGACTATACAATGCATCAATAATTTCATCAAAACTGATCAAAGTTAACCTTGGTCTTATAAGATTAAACCATTCCCATATTAAGGACATGATATTATATGTTGTCAACTAGAAAAAAAAGGTTGTGAATTACCTAATAAATATTTATAAGTTGGAAATAAACATGCTTATGTATACATTTCTTGTTTGGTCATTTTGAAGTTGATTTTAGGAGAACATAAATGCATACATTTAGTATGTAAAACTTGTCTTTTATCCTTAAAAAGTCTTAGTTGAGGTAATGTATTCAAGATTTGTTTTACTTAGTTTCTGGACAATGAAGTCCCTGCTGACTCTCCTGACATTTTTTTTTTTCGTTCTTTGGTGCAAGAGTAGATGTGTCCCCGCTAGACTAGTCTCCTAATCCTGTAAACTAGAATGTACTCAGGTCACTCATCCAAAATACCATTATTTTCTCAATTTTCTCAGTTGTGCATATACTTATATGTGAATTACAGACATGTTTCTATGGTCAAAATAAGTAATATTATTATAATAATGATTCAGTATACGACATTTACGATTGCTGGTTTACATCTGCTTTTATTGGAAATGTGCTTCTGATAGTGAATACAGGGTATATTTTAAAAGTCCACTTTTATAACGATATTAATGACCCATTTATCATTTAGGTGATACTGCAATAATTGCTATCAAATTTGAAAAAAATTACTTAAGTACAGTTATGTAACAATTTTGAAATGTTTTACAGTATTTTGAGTTGGGACTGCCTAAAAAAATAACAATTCTGTATATGTTAGTAGTTTGTTTTCAATTTTATTCCACTTTGTACACTTAATTATACTGTATGAGCATTTAACAGATTACAAGATCGTACTCACTGAAATAGAACGGCATGATGTAATCATAGAATGTTGTGCATTAAACAGATACAGATCTACCGGGTAATGCTGCTAAAAAGTGCAGACGATAAAGATCACGTAAACCCAAATTGTGTTGTTTTTCCTCGTCAGTTCAGTGATCTGTTGCTGAACTCAAGTAAGTTACAGTAATTTTATAATTATATGATCAAAGCCCTATGGAGTAAAATACTTCTGTTTTTATTCTGGTTCGTGTACTTTAAGTTTGTCTTAACAATAATTGATCATATTACTGTAAAAACTAAAAATGTTTGACCACAATTAGTTTTGGAAAACGAAATAGAATATAAAACTGAAATTTTGACTGAGTGAAAATGATTAATTACAAAAATATTAGATAGCATATATGCTGCATCATTTGTTGTCAAAAAGTAACATTCACATATAACAATCACATGTTATGTTTAATTACACCACTGCAGGTCAAATCGTGCACAAGAAACCTGTCAGGTATCAGTTTTGTATGAATTGAATATTTAAAAATTTTATTTAAAAAAAAACAAAAAAATAACGTTTTTATATTTTTAACCTTTGACTGAATGTTAACATTGGAAAAAGTAGCTAGGTTATTTTTTTGTGTATATTCACAGTATTGATAATTGTTTGTGACATGTTTTAAATTGTCCAGTGTTGCTAACACTGTTTTCATCGATGCTTGATTTCATTAATTAATGTCTAAATTACTGTAGAATAATTATTGTTCCAAAAATTATTACAGAAGTTATGGGGAATAGACATCAACATGTATGGAATGTTGCAACAAATCATGGCATACAAAGAGTTTAAACAGTAACGCTCACTAATAAATAAATAAATAAATAAAATATCTAAATTGAATAATACCACATCACAAAAATATTCATAAATTCTTTATTTACTTTGTTCTATTTGTATCATATGAACTTACTTGAATAAGGGTATGAGTATAATGGTTGAAACATTTAGTCATATTTTTAATGTTTTAGAAATATTTTTAATGATCCTGTAAAAAAAACTGTTCATTACATGCACTTTTATTGGAGATGCAATTCCAATAAAATACAGTACTTATCATCACAGTCGGGTGCAAAAACTGTATTCATCGACATTGATGTAAAATACTTAAAAATTAAAAATTAAAATTTAACTGTGATCCATACTGACCGCAAGATAATTCGGCATCTGTAGAGTAGACTCCAGGTAGATACATTGTGTTGTCAGACTTTGTGCCTCAGCTGCATGTCCACATTACTAATCATGCCAAGTAAGTCAAATATTTAAAGTAAATGTGAGCGTAACTTGGTATATCCACCAACTTAAAAACTTAAATTGTCAGTCTATTGTGTACACCACTTAAACTTGGCCAGCAGGTACATGTCTTAAGGGAAATACCTTTACCCGGTAGTTGTATAGTTGCATGTGTGTCATGAACCAACTAGAAAATTTGAATGAGTCTTCAAGTTAGTGAAAGACGTAATAAAATATAATATCACATGCTCCATGCTAAAAGTTTATTGGATATGTGGAAACCTGTCTTTACTGAACATCAGCACCATAACACAGACCTTGTTCTATAAAGGACGGACATTGTATGGCTAAGATATGGAAAGCAAAAATGTAATCGCTATGAGTTCTTGAATTCTTGCTGAGTAATATATACTTTCAATCAAATGAAAAAACAACGAGGGGTAATTCTTACCTGAAAACAATAATAAAGTAACTACACTGTAACCTCGTTATAACAAACGATGGTCATCGCGCAGCACATGTTCGAATTTCATGTAAATAAACAATGTATTTTACACGCGTTGTATACGTCGCTATGAGTCCCATATTGAACAGGTAATGGTAGAATAAAATGAAACAACACAACTGCAATGAATTTATGAGCAATGAATAGGTTATCTGGTATAACGAACACTTCAATATAATGAACGATATGGCTGTTTCCCGACGTGTTCGTTATAATGAGGTTACAGTGTATATTTATTTATTTATTTATTTATTTATTTATTTATTTATTTATTTATTTATTTATTTATTTATTATGTTTTTATTCAAATTTTCAAATTGCTCAGTATGTAGTTTTACAATGTCTTCAATACCTGTGTCAAATTGTTATAGTTGGAAATATTCAGGTGCCCTGAGATTATAGTGCTTTAGTTGCCTTCAAAGAAAATTGGTTGAAATCACATGACAATGTTCAATGGTTTATTATGTAAAATCATGGAAATATTGTCCCATGGCACCATAAAATAGCATTATTTTGTGTGTTGTTTTGAGAAACGTTTCCCAATACTATATAATACTATATTAAAAGTAAAATGTTTTTTTTTGCATTTTTCAAAAACCCAGATTTTTGAAATATTTCAGGTCAAGAAAATGTACCCAATCATTAACAATGTATAATAGTTTCAGCCTATGTCACCAGAGTACGATTTGAGATTTGTCATAACATCTCTGCCATAGAAATCTATAATAGTAAAGCGTTATAACAAAATGACCACTATCCAACCATGATTTTCCCCAAAATTAGGCTTATGACCCCCTAACTTTTTGAAGTCAATATATCTTTATACTGTCTGAGTGTACAATTTTTTGCCAAATGAATAAATTTTATGTATCGGTATTTGCGTTTATGAGTAGGTTTCTACCGTAAAGCAGCGGAGTCGTCACCTGTATATGAGTCAGATGGCCATAGCATGTCATTGTTTACAAGCGTCTCCCCTATCATCGCTTGGGACTCAATTGCTGTGTGTGCGAATGTGACGACCCTCTCGCTTTAAGGGAATTAATTTCTAAGCTTTTTAACCATCAATTATACATATTGTCAGTCTAGAGATTCTAAATGACTTCTCTCTTCACTTCATTAACTTGTATCTACTTTTATTAGCTCTGCTGTCGTCTTTGTCGAGCGGGGCTTATCATATGCATGATTGTCTGTCGGCGACCCTGGACCGTGTCAACTTTTTACATTTTCAACTTCTTCTCGTTAACTACAATTCTTATTGCTTTGATACTTGGTGTATATGTACCTTGGGCAAACCTCGCTTAGATTTGTTCATTTCGTGATGATATCTTCAATTCTCTAATTTTGATTAATATTTTTGTCATTTTTTAATAAACAACGATATTTTTGACTTGTTGAAAACCGCAATTCTGATTGCTTTGATAATATACCTGCGGGTGGACCTTTCTCAGATTTGATATCTTCTGTTCTTTAATTGAAATATGCATTGCTAACAACAGAGCTATCTCAGCCGAGAGGCTTCTTGTTTATACTATGTGGCGATAGTTACAAATGGGTTTCATCATCAAACTTATACTCTTCCATGTTAATTAAAATTGTTAGCCCTAACAAGACATGTATGAGGCTGCCCTCTATGGGTATCGGCCAAACATTAGTTCTTTTTCTGCTCTCAAAAAGTATGGTTATCCGAAAGGGTGATGAGGTCACCTGATGGGGGAGATTTCTTCGATTTTCTCAGTAAGTGCAAAACAAAGATTTGTCAATAAATGACTCATCTTCAAAATGTTACTGTAGCAGCAACTACTAGTAAGTATCCAAAGCATTCAGTCATTGCTCTTAAATTTTTATCAAAGTTTTGAACATAAGAAATATTTCTACTGTAATAAATACTATGGCAATCAAACTGCGATGGGATATTTTTAATTCTGTTTTCAACTTCTTCATGAAAACCCTATTTACTTGGACACTTGGTATGTATGAACCTGTGGTGGACCTCTCTAAGGTTTGTTATCAACGATGTGATGTGATGCAATTGCCATGGCAACAACAATATAAACTACCATGGTTGTGATATGGAAAGATCGTTGTGGTAACAATAACCATGGTAAATAGCTCATATCTCATTATGGCAAACAATATCAAATTTTTTTTAAAGAAGACACTCTAAGGACGTTAAAGCTATTTTTGACTGTTTTGACATGATTTACATAAATTATTAGAATAATTACCATCATTTTAGAAACTTGATTTTTCTTAGAAGTTCTCCCCTCAATTCATTGCATATATGTGCAGTAACATGGTCAGTAGTGCAAAATTTGAAGTTTTTTTTCCCACAATGCATTTCATATGTTCAGTCACATGCTCAGTAAGGCAAAATTTGAATTCAGCTCAACGTGTCTTAATCGTGAATAGTCATTTCCTCTACACATTAAAGTAAATTTATTATTAAAAAAATCAATAGTAGATAATGACTATAAATCAGTCATGCAGATCGAGCTGATTGAGTAGCGATCGAAGCAGTGATGTAGTCATTACATAATTCATATGTAGAATAGTTTTTTGCATTTGACTTAAGGAAATTAAAGTCACAGAAAAGTTAATAATATGTACCAAGGGGTATATGGATAATTATTCCTACAGAATACCAAGTGTCTCACTTTTTGAACAAATTTATTGTAATTTGCATTTTTAGCAAAAGGCATGTAAGAAAAGCAAGCTCTTGATGTACATATTCTGACACAATCAAAAATAATATTTCTACTCAAAAATTCAAACATTTGAATAATTATGAGATTACCATCTGATATCACTTGTTTGTGAAGCCGGTTGATACGAGTGATGTCATTGGCTAGTATTTCATCTATGAACCAAAGGTGAGAATATTAACCAGCTCTATCATATACCGATAAGTATCTGCAGATACTCTTTTTATGACCAATTTCAAGTGTCAAAAAGACAGAGAAATCATAATTTGACAAAACCATTCTTACAAATCATGTGTTATTTTATGCTAATTAGGCATGACATCTACATGTGTCAGTATAGACATGCTTTTGCAGTTGAGGATATAGCAATGATTTTTGAAATTGGCAGAAATATTAAAATATTACTGTTCTTAGTGATATTTTATCAAAATAATTTTCAGTCAATATTGTGAGTTAATTTATTGTCATTACAACATGTGAGTAATTTCTTGTTATTCCAGTCTTGTATATATCACAACGATAAAAATGGTACTATTTGTTTTTCTCGTACTGTTCGAGCACACACAGACTGATAATGTGTGAAATCAATTAGTGATATTCAAATCACGCTAAACGTCACTACTTTGAATGACATGAATCATGGTCATGTGATAACCTCATAATAGTTAAACAATTTCTGTTCTCGTCGTCAACAAGTCTTGTCTTCTGAATAACTCTGTATTTGATTCAAACAAATTTCTCTAGTTCAGCTTTTGATGTGTCTTGCTTGTTTATGTTTTTTTTTTATATTTATAAGTTTTTATTGGTAATCATTCATAATACATACAGTAAGCAGAATACACTGTGTACATATATAGACTAATATACAAGTGCATTCAAGACATAACAATTTGATGGATTTTAATCCACTTATTACAGTGTTTCAATTTTGCCCTTGTTCACAGCAATGTTGTATTCAAGATGATAGTTATACTTGACTTGGTTCAGTAAAGTTGGAAAGAGGGGTTTTAAGGTTTCTCATTTTCATAAGATAAATGTGTCTTTTAGCCAGAAGCAGTAAGTGGTTGTGCAACCTAGACAAAGTCGCTTCCCCAAATAAAATTTCACTTAGATTTAGCACTTCCCTGGATTACTAATGCATCTATGAAACAATGGAGGAAGTGTCATGCTTGTTTATTTTTCAAGCTATGTCTGATAATGTGGCTTGAAATTTATCATTCGTGTATTACACACCTCATGGAATGGATTCAGCATTGGAACCAAGTTTCTGTATGATATATAATACTCACACAAAAGGAGTATTAGATGACACCTTATCCAATATTTGTTGTACACCAACGTAAACTGTCCTTATA